ACACACCAACAGGTCTGAACGAAGCTCACGGTTCAACATAACCCGGAGCGCAGTGGACTCACTCCCCCTGCTTGCAGGGCCCCGGGAATCCATCCTTTTTAGGAATGCTTTAATGATTCCAACAACCCCACTTCTGTTGAATAACTTCTATGTGCAACTATAGGAGGAAAAAACACCTTAATTTATTACATGAAGTAGCCATTTGCAATATAGCACATATTTTTTTTTTGCAACCCTGCTTTGTTATTTCTTCATCATTAAAGTGTGTTTATCAGGAGAATGGAAACCTGGCCAAGGCCCAGCGTGTCTACACCTGAGGACCCTGCGCTGAGCACACAGGAGGACACCTGGGAACCTCCGTCAGAGGCCGGAGTTCAAGGAAGATCATTTCCCATCAGCCAAATCGGCACTGCCCAGAAGTTCATAACAACAACAATAATAATGGCAACAACAATAGTAAGTCCATGTGGGTTGTGCAGTGGCAAATGGCTTTCAAAGCACACCCACACTTTGGGACCCACCCACCCCAGAGCCATGTCTGGGGAGGCCACCTACCCTATCACCTCAGCTCCTGGCTTCTGAGCTTTGAAGGACCCCGACTCAGCCTCAGGATGGCCTGGGGCTTTTGGGCAAGTCACCTTGCCTGTGTGAGCTTCAGCCTGCCCATCTTTGGAATGGTGGTCTGGTTCACACACTGAGGTGGCCTTAGAGAACTGGGGGTAGGGCAGACGCAGGAGGTGCAATGCCCCAAAGGAATGGAGTTATCACTGTTGTTACCCATGGGGTTCTGTGTTCTTTGGCTGCTCCTCCAGGCCTCCCTCGGATGAGGAGCCTCTTTGCCTGCTTCCTTCGTTCTCAGGGAGTGGTGGCTGTGGCTTCTGCAGCAGCCATAGGCCCCCCATCCTGAAACAACCTGCCCTTACTGCCTCAGCTCTCCTATCTGCAAAGCGCTGTCAGGCATTTGCTGGACCCCGCAGTTCCCAAGCAGCTGTGTGTGCTCCCAGCTCTGATGATGAGCTGAGGGAGGTTGGTGACCTGCAAGATTGAAACCTTGTGGCACCTAGCACACACACCCACATCCCTTTCTCCCCCATGCACTGGTGGGCCTGCTCCCTAACTCTCCCTTCTGCCCAGGAGCTCCTCCACCAGCTTTTTGGGCTCAGGGGAAATATCTAATCCTCCTTGCTGCTCAGGCTCGGTTGGAAACAGCTTGTCCTTCTGTAAAGTGAAGTGAACCCCGTGGACTTGTGGGAGGCTGGGTTCTGCCTTTTCCGGGCGAACCCTGACGGGGAGGTAACATGGGTGAAATGTGTGCCTGCCTAAGACTGAGCTCCGGGCAGGTTGGGGGGTCCCAGTCACTGCACCGGGCACCTCGGGGAGTGTGCAGGTCTTGGATGAGGTCCTACCTCTGGGAAAGGCTACTGAGGCTACTATCACTGCCAGAACCCCCTCCCTGGGTGCCAGCTCTCCGCAGCCTCTTTGAGCTGGGGGTGAACTACCACAACCCCCATGTCAGAGGTGTGGGGAGGCACATTCGAGTCCTCCCTCAGACCTTCTCCAATGAACAGATTCGCTGTCATCTCTCCCCCTTTACTAGAGTGGCCTGGAAGACAGTTATTTTCATAATGGACCGCACCCCCATACACCCGCTGCTTGGCGGATATGCTTGGGGGGTCTGAGAGTGGAACTTGCTAGAATAGAAACCAACTTGGGACAGCCAAGGCCAAGACCCACAGGCTTTGGGATGGGAAGGAAATTTGAGTTACACACACACACACACCCCAGTGACACTGGCAGTCCAGAATGAGATTCATGGGCTGGGCCTGCAGTCTTGGGACCGATTTCAGGGCGAGTCACAGCCTGTCTGCCCTCTTTCCCAGCCATTCCTTCTGCCTTAGTTTACTCTCCTCAGTGTGTGGGTCCCCAAGGTCAGCTCTGAGATTTGGGAAGGGCCGAAGGGGACTGAGAAACATGAAGCGTTCAGGCTAGGGCAACAACGTTCTGCTTCCCCGGGCCCAGAGCAGACCCAGACCAGCGCCGGGCTCTGCAGCCACGGGAATTCCCAGCACAGGGCAGGCAGGGAGCAGGACCAATTGTTCCCCATCTTCTACAAAAGAGCCGGGTGTGAGTGCCCAAGGAAAAAAAATGAAAATAGTTATGCTAAACATGTCTAGGGCCCGGTAAAGGCGCCTGGCTAGGGTGGCAGTGCAGCCGGAAAGCCTCAGAGGCCAGGCTGGCCCTGGGGCTGCCTCAGGCTCCGGATCTCAGGGCGTTCACGACAGGGCTGGCCCTGGGGCGGGTCAGAGAGAAACTGCAACAATCCGGTCAGATTGAATCCCTTTGAGTCATTTTCCCCGGAAGTCTCCAGCCAGCCCAGAAGAATTGGCCCTGGCAGGGTGCGAGAGAGAGAGAGAGAGAGAGAGAGAGAGAGAGAGAGAGAGAGAGAGAGAGAGAGAGAGAGAGAGAAGAGGGGTAGGGCGCTGCCTGGCCTCCCCCGTTCTGTTCTCACGACTGACTCCACATCCGCAAGGATGGAGCCCAACCCACCCGCTTAGGACGCAGCTATAACCAACTGCGGGTTTAGAAGAGGAAAAATCACTTCCCTGCCCCCAAATCGGTAGTGGCGACATCTGGAAAGAGGAAGGGAGGAGATTCTAACATTATCGGAAATGTTCTTACCACCAAAAAAAATAAAATAAAATAAATTGCATGCATGAGCAGGAAACTAAACTCGAACCCTTACCCGTGTCACAAAGAAACAAAGTGACTGCGGGAGCCAGTTGGAAGGTAGCTGGGCTTGGGGACCGGGGTTGCACTTCCCGAGAGCCTTTGCCTTTTCCTCCGCGCTTCTGTTTCCAGAAGCAGGAACCATTTCTTAAATGCTCCTGGCCACTCTCTGCCCCGCCCGGTCCCCAGGGCTGCAGACGCCAGGCCTCCGCCTGCAGGGTGTCAAGGCCAAGGGGTCGCGTGGCAGAATAAGGTCGAGGCCGAGGAGGGCAGGCCGGCCCGCCCGCTGGCTCCCGGCGAAATTGAAAGCAGCGGGGCCCGGTGTCTGCGTTTCCCTGCTCAGGCCACGGCGCCTGCCCTGCGCGTTAACCCTTCCCAGCTCCCAAGCCGGCGGGAGCGAGGGTAGCGGGGCGCGTTTTGCGCGGGCGGACCGGTAGCATCCTGGCGCTCGTTCCCCTACAGAATCCAGTAACATCGAACCCTCCTCCTGTCCATCCTCTGCGCCCATTTTAACTTTCGGTGCGGATGGAAGGGCTCAGGGCCCTGAGCAGTGGAAGCGCCTTTTGCACCCGCCGAGGTCGGAGTGCCAGGGACCCTCCTGGGAGCCGCCCGGAGGACCCTCCAGCCTCGCTCGCCCTTCATCGCTTCGGAGTCTCAGCGAATGTTTTTGCTGGCCTGTTCTCCGAACCAACTGAAGCCGGAATCACGCAGAAAAAAAAATACGTGGAACACGGAAAGTATGGCAGATGCAGGCAGGTGGAGGGGTGGGCGAGTAAGGACGGGGGATGGGAATGGGCCGCAGGTTCAGCTACAGATGCTTCCTGGATTCTGACACCAACGCTCGGGAGGAAAAGGAGAATCCTGGGGACTCGATCCTGATTAGTGGGGTCCGTCTTGGGCTCTGGCAAAGTCAAGATTCCCTGAGCTGCGCAGATTTTCACCCCTGCTGGGGAGAAGGGAGAGGTGGCCAGCAAGGGGTGTAAATCTGGAGGGGCAGGCAGCCTGGGTCCAGGACAGAAAGGAGGCTGGGAAATGGAACCCCAGCTATTTCCGGGGCCCTGGCGGGCAGAGAGGGGCTCAGAGAAAACGAGGCGTCCAGGAGGGCATGTTACATGGAAAGTTTATAAATTAAAGGGAAAAAACAGCGAACAGAGCTTCCCAACTTGGCAAATCTTTTAAAAGTGAACAGTCTAGTTGAGTGCACGGTGCCCTTAAGGAGGCGGAAAGCGGCGAGGGTGACAGGATCACCTGTCGCAGGGGCGGGGGGCTGGGGCAGGGCCAGGCCGGGGAATCCTGGGTCAGGACGCAGCGGTGGCGAAGAGGGGACAGGAGGACAGACAAAGGGCCCGGCGGCTGGCCCACTGCGGAGGAGGGCACCGTGGACAGGCTGTTCAGGGATATTCACATTGAATACAAAAATAACCGTCATTTGAGTACAAACAACTGAAAAGTGCTACACTTTGAACCCCTTTTGGAACAAATAAAAAGAAATAGAAGAAACTTCTTTGCGAAGGAAGGGCTCCCAGGCTCGATCCCCCCTTGTCTGGGACACCCTGGAAGCTTCTGGCCTGGAAGAGGAAGGAGGTGGGGAGGAGGGGGAAGAGGGTGCGCCATGCTCAGAGGCTTCCTTCCTTACATTCAGCGCTCACCGGGCGCCCTCACCCAAGGTCCACGTCAGGGAGCCAGGGAGGGCGGGAGGGGCCAGAGAACCAACCCCTGGCCCGGGGTTCCTTAGGGGGCCGCCTGGGTGTCGCACCCCCTTTATTACAAACTCAATTTCCAAAAAGAATAGATATGTCGATACACATAGATCGGTAGCATGGATACCATGAACTAGTGTGGCCTAGCGCACGCAGCTCCCGGCGGCAGGGACCTGATCCTGGGGGACTCAGGCTTATGTGGTGTCCAGGAGTTCTCTCCGCTCTGGGGAAACGGGAAACGCTGGCCCCAGGCAGATACAATCCAAATCCCAATCCAAATCTAAATCCAACGCTGTGGCGATAATAAATAACGTCTGGGGCTTCCAGGCAGGTTGAGGGGGGATCGGGGGAACGGAGAGGCCACAAAGCCCCTAGGTCCCCTGAGCGCCTCTGTTCAAACTGGAAAAAGGCGCCCCCTCCGGGCAGACTCAAGTCCCATCGCGGGGGCACACGTCCAGGATAGCAGATTGGATCCAGGGCTGGATTGCATCCTCCGCTTGCCCCCTCGGTGGGTGTGGGTGCCCCTGGACAGAGCCAGGGAGCCAGGATGGCTCGGGCCGGGCCCTGGGCCGCTCACTGGGTGCCCGCGGCGGCGGCGCAGGGGGACAGCGCCCAGCCGGGGAGGCAGTAGTACGGGTAGTAGTAGGAGGGTTGCAGGGGCAGCAGCGACGGCGGCCGCAGCACCTCGCCGGGCAGGTACTGTCTCTGGTCGTCGCGCACCAGCACCTTGACCGCCACCTTCTTGGCCGCGGGCGCCGAGGCCAGCAGGTCGGCGGCCATCTGGCGGCGCTTGGTCTTGTAGCGGCGGTTCTGGAACCAGATCTTCACCTGCGTCTCGGTGAGCTTCAGCGACGCGGCCAGGTCAGCGCGCTCGGGCCCCGACAGGTAGCGCTGGTGGTTGAAGCGGCGCTCCAGCTCGAAGACCTGCGCGTGCGAGAAGGCGGCCCGCGAGCGCTTCTTGCGCGGCTTCGGGGCCACGGGCCCCTCCTCCTCCTCTTCTTCCTCCTCCTCCGCGCCGCCCGCCGGGCCCCCGCCGCCGCCGCCGCCGCCCGCCTCGCCGCCGCACAGCACGCGGGCGCCTCCCGGGCCCACGCCGTCGTCCTCCGGCCTCGGGCTGCGGTCGCCTTTGGACCCCAGAGGAAACAGAAACGAGAGAGCGTCAGCGAAGCCGGGGAGTGAGGTTGGGGTGGGGGTGGGGAACGGAAATGTCTTGCGATCCCACCAGGAAGGCGGGGAGGGCCTCCGAGCCCGGGTTTGGGTTTTCGGAGAGTCTCCCTTCTCGCATCTAGGCCTGTCGGGGCGGCCCAGGGACTCCGCCTCCGCTGTGCCAACGCCCCGCGGGCGGCCCACATCCAGCTCTCTGCTCCGTCTGGGCCCCAGCCTCCCCTCAGTAACGCCCTGGCACGGAGTCTGGTTACCCTCCAAAGCCTTCTGGACTCCGAGGGCCGAGCCCTGGGGTTCTAGATTACGTTTTCCTCTCTGGATTCACCCGCCTGCCCACACTCACGCTCACCCATACACATGCCTTGGCTGAACGTCAAGCGAAGGCGTGGGGACAGGTTCTGGGGACAGAGGTATCAGAGTCTCCCGCCGCCAACCACCAGAAGGTGTGGCAATGGGCTGCCCCCAGGCCTTGGGTGGACTTCTCCCTCTCTTCGCTGGGAAACTAGACAGAGGCTGGGGGTTGGGGTGGCAAGAGCAGGGTGTCCCTGCCCCGAGTCCTAAGATTCAAATCTGACTCTAGTTCCTCCGTCTCTCCTGCGCGCTCTGGCCACAGCACCCGACAGAGAGATCTGGCACTCTGGCCTCAGCACCCGGCAGAGAGGTCTGATGCTCTGGCCTCAGCACCCAGAAGAGAGGTCCAGCGCTCTGGCCTCTGGCAGACAGGACAGACTTTGCCTGGGGCCAGAACGAGGCCTACAACAGCGTCTACCAGACCTGGGGCAGGCGTGGGGGTCTCTCTGAACCAATGACTTGCAGGAAGCTGAGGAGGCCCCTCTCCCTGCTGCGTCTGGGGTGTCCTACATCAGCCCTGCTGCCTCCAGCTGGCTGCTGGGTTTGCCTCCAGCTCTGGGATCCTCAGCTCAGAACAGCTTTCCAGGCCCTGGGGTCTGAGGAGCTGAACAAACCCTCCTCTCTAAGCCCGGGCTCAGCAGGTCCTGTCCTCTGGCCCGAGGGGAGGTGGTCCTCGCTACCTGTCCTTGAGCTGCAGGGCCTGGCCCTGGGACCTCCCGCCCGGAGAGTCTCTGCTCTCTCTCTGCGTGAGGGCCAGCGCACTGGCTGTCCTAGATCTCTGGGCCTCGCTCTTCTCCCTTCCAACTGATTTGGGATTTGGAGACAGACACGGCCTGCTGAAGGCACTAAAGATGAACTCAAACCCAGAGGTTCCCTCCAGCCCTGTCCGGAGGACATCTCGGGCCTCGTCCCAGGATGGCAGGGCTCTGAGGATGCTCTGGTTTTCTCGGGCTTCCTTCCCGGAGGGTTAGAGCTGCCCACGGCCCGAGCGCGCAGAGCTTGGGGTCTGGATCGGCCCCCGGGCCCCAAGGCAGGGTGCTCGCGGCAGGCAGGCCCACCCCACTCGGCAAGGCTGACCTCCTCGCCCAGCCCCTCAGCCCGGCCCCCTTCCCCGGGAGAAGCCTCGGCGAACCTGAGACGCTGGCGGACAGCTCGCTGTCGCTCCGGCCCGCGGCTTCCTCCTCCAGGTCCTTGGCGGCGGGCAGCTCGCAGCCCGGCTGGACGAGGCCCAGGGTCCCTCCCGCACGGCCGGCCCGACCGGCCGCGGGCGCGTCCGCGCAGCGCCGCCCGCCGCCCTCGTGGTCCTCGCTCAGCGCCGAGTCCGAGTCCCAGGCGCCCGGGCTCTCCGCGGTGCGCCCCGCCGCCGCCGTCCTCGGCCCGGCGGGCGACGCCAGCAGCGGGTCCTCGGCGCCCCCCAGCGCGCCCGCGTCCTTCTCCCCAAAGAGCCGCCAGCAGCAGACGGCGGGCGCTCCGGCCACCGCTCCCGGGGCGCCCCCGGGGGCCCGGCGCCCCTCGGGCGGCGCGGGGAGCCCGCCGCGCTCCTCCTTCTTGTTGAGGATCGCCTGGATGGAGAAGGGCGTCAAGGTGCTGGCGCCGCGCACGGCCATCTGCGCCGCGGGCCGGGGCGGCCGGCCGGCCGGGCGGCAGGGGAGCGGGGCAGCTCCGAGCTGGACGGAACTTTCGCGCGGGGCCCCCGCAGCCCACTCCCGCGCGGTCGGTCCAGGAGCCCGCGCCCTGCTCTGGCCTGGGATCAGCGCCGACCCTCACCCCTACTTCCGAGTTTTCCCCACCCCGCCCGCCCGGAGACCCCCTCCCTCCCTCCCGATCCAGAGCCAGACGCCCTTCTTTCGAAGCTCAGCTGAATTATCTCATCGCCTAGCGCTCCGAGGGGAGGAGCGGGCCGGGGTCGGCCCCTCGGAGGGCATTGGGGGGGAGGATCCGCGGGGGCCCCTCGGGCGGCGGCTGCCGTCCCTGCCTAAGCGCCTCCGGAGCGCACGACCCAGAGTCCCTTTTCCTCGGAGCCTCGGTCTCTTCCCCGCCTTGCAGGGCTTCGCTCCCGGCTCGTCCTCGCCCTTCCCCGCTGCCGGAGCCCACCCCCGGCGGCAGGCAGCGGTGGCGGCGGCCGCGAGACTGCGAGAGGCGCGGGGCACCTTTTCCCCCCCTGCCTGGGTTTTATCTGTTTCTTCTCCCTTTTCTTCCCCCGCGTTCCTGCGGACCCCCCTCCCGCGCGGGTGTCATTCCTCACCGCTGAGTGACAGCCGCAGGCCACGCCCCCGCGGTGGGCGGTGCCGGGCTCTCCCGGCCGCTCATTGGCTGGCTCCGGCGGGGAGACGTCCGCCGAAACCGACAAAACTGGGCGCGTTGCGAGCAGAAAGTCAGGGTCTGGCTTAACCCCTTTACTCCCAAGTGTGGTTCGCGAAGCATCTTCCAGCGGCGAGGAGGCCGCAGAGCCGCTGCTCGAGAACCCGCAGGGCTTACCTTGGTGGATGCACTCACCTTTTCCCGCGCTTTGATGCAGCGCCGTGTTTAGCGGAGTCCTAGCCCAGACGGCATTCCAAGAGAAAGCAGTTCCATATATCGCGCATAGTTTCTGTTCTCTAGGAAGTTGCACAGAGAAGAAGAAAAAATTGTTTCTTTCGCCCCCTTAGGCTTTCGCGGCTCTTCCCTGCTAATTCTTTTCGCTGAAATAATCAGTTCGTGAAAATCCGTTCTGTTATTTTTCTTTCCCGGCCGTATTTGATTTGATTCGATTGCTGTGTAGAGGAATTGAAAAGGGGGAAAAAGTTAGAACTAAAATCAGGCGAGACATGGGAAAGCAAGTTTAGGAGAGTTTCTGGAAATTGCGTGATTATTCCCTGCACTGTCAATGCTGAGTTTAATTGGAGTTAAATTTTGCACCAGGAGGAAGAAAAAGGAGAAGAAACTTTCAATTTGTTCTTTAAATATTCTGTTACTTGTGAGTTGAATGGGATTAGAAGATAGGTATTTGTTTCAAAAGAATTTCTAGGAATTACCATAGTAATGATTCTGAACTGGCATTAAATGCTCTTCAAATAAAATAAGTAACATATTGTTTTTCTGAACAAGAAGGAGCCGAGTTAAGAAACACAAATATTGTGGGTATATCAAAACATTTGTTACTAATTCTTGTTGTTTATTTTTAAATAAAAAATTTTTTTGCACCAGTAAAATGCTTTACTGTCTTCCATAAATTTTGCCAGAGGTTTAACTTAACACCAAATACACAACGGGAGCCATTAAATACATTGAAGGAACTGTGATATTAAGATAGTGAAGTGTGGGGTCTGGTGTTTTTGGTGTCACTAACATAAACAACATTGCCCTTGTTGCTGCGTTCTTTTCGGTGGCTCCCTATGGGTACCCACCGCAGGACGGAACACACCCACTGTCCCATTCTCAGGCTCAGCGGGGGCTCCGCAGCATCTCCACTTCTCAGCGCCTCAGCCACAGATGCTTGCTGCATCCCAAATATGCTACAGATCGGATCCTGTTTGGATTCGGTGGGGAAGAACCTCACACTTGCAGAGGTCATTGCCCTCTGTAGATCTTCACCAGGACATCAGGTTGGGAGAGAAAGGTAGTGTAAATGTGGTGTCAGGATCTGGCCAGTGGAAGGAACCGGAGGGGAACAGAACCGAATGTCTCCTGGGCTTCAAAAGAAAGCATGTCCTTGCCTTCCTCTCTGGACTTTTATTTATCCTCTAAATAAATCACCCCTCCCTTGCCGCCCTAGGCAAAGTGTTGCTATTCTCTGGGGTCCAGTGGAGGAGGTGGACCCAGGGTGCCCAGAGGGTGAGAAGTGGCGGGTGTGACCTGGGTGTCGCAGACAGCTCTCCTTTATCCTTCTGCGGGGTTAGGACATGGTGTGGGCACCTAATACGGACACTCAGACAGGCAGAGAAGCTTTGGGGTTGAATAACTGAGCCTGAGAGTAAGTGTGGGGCTATCCAAAGACTTACTTAGCTCTCCTCTATTTTTTAAAGACAACCAACCCAAATCCAAGTAGGATATATCCTCACCCCTGACACAGGCTCGGGCAGAGGCGTGGAGAGCGGTGGCTGGGGACTTTGTGGGCTTTGGGTGTGAGACTGGCGGCCTCCCGAGTCTGCAGGAGGAGCGCCTCCCGGAACCGTTAGGGCCGGAGCGTGGCTGCGGGCGGGCAGGCCGGGAGGCGGGTGCTGGCCGCGGGTAAACACCAGGGTCTGAAGCCGCTGGGGTGGAGAAGGCAAAGCCTTTGGGGGACGGTGGGCGAAGGTGGTGGGATGCACAGAGATTTATTTCCCCGGGTGCGCGCAGAGGCAGGGCCAGCGAGTGGCTGGGGAGGGGTGAGCGGCGAGTCTCCTCAGCTCCGCAGATCGACGGGGATCGGAAGCTTCCGCGCCGGCCGGCGGGCCGGAACCGGCTTGCAGCTCACCCAGGGCGGTCTGCTCCGGCGTGGCTCGGGGTCCCGCGGCTGCAGGACGGCGCCTGCAGGGTGGTCGGTGCCGCGCTCAGGCCTGGGAATCCGCGGAACCGGAGATGGCGATCCCGCGTCACCCACGCACAGAAGGCGATCGGTTCGCCCCGCGCGGTGCCTTCCACCGCCTGGCTCTAGCCTTATGCCCCCGCAGCGCCTCTCTCCCTGGCTCCGCAGCTCGGTTCCTGCGCGCCCGCTGCGCGCCCCCAGCAGCCCAGGTCCCCGCGCTGCTGGCCGGGGAAGTTTCCCAGGTCGCGTGCGGAGTGCGGGATGCGGGTGTGAGAGCCCAGGGGACCGAGATGGAGAAACGCGGCTCTCGAGCCCGGCCCACCAGGGGCCCCCGCGCGCTGTGCCCCTGCCGCCCATCACCCCTGCCCTCAGTCCTCCTTCGTCTTCGGGGAGGAGCTGCCTTCTGTGCCCACGATGGACCGAGGGCACACGCCCGGGGCTGCGCTGCAACAGGAGCCCGCGCTGGGCTTCTCCCTGACGCTGATGACCTGGACTGAAGACATTGGCCTTTTCTGGGTCGCAGTTTCTAGTCTTTTAAACCAAGGGCTTGGACCTGGTGCCCTCTGAGGCCTAGGCGCCGCTGCTGCTGGAGCTGGTGTGTGTGTGTGTGTGTGTGTGTGTGTGTGTGTGTGTGTGTAGGAGGCTCGGGTGCAGGCTCTCAGGCCAGGTCCAGGCAGAGGCTAAACCGGGGTCACCTGGTCCCCACCTGCAGGCTCCTGAGGGTGCTCTAAGCATCCCCAGCGCCAACAGTTGGCCACCTTCCAGCCAGCAAATACCAACCAACTCCCGAGTTCCCAAGTCCTCCAGACTCCAGGGTTTTTCACACACGTGGCCCCGTGACCCCGGTATATCTGACTGCACAGGGAAGCACGGCTCTGGGTCAGAGTAGTTTTTTATTTACACAGATGCTGTTCACCAGCAAGGTTCCAGGAGCCCCAGCCTATTGTTATTTATTTATTTATTTATTTATTTATTTATTTATTTATTATTTTTAAAATGTATTTTTATTGATTTCAGAAAGGAAGGGAGAGGGAGAGAGAGAGAGAGAGAGACATCAAAAATGAGAGAGAATCATTGATGGGCTGCCTCCTGGACACCCCACACTGGGAATGGAGCCTGCAACCAGAGCATGTGCCCTTACCAAGAACGGAACTGTGACCTCCTGGTAACAGGTTGACACTCAACCACTGAGCCACCATGGCCAGGCCTATGGTTTTGTTGAATCTACACAACCTTGAGGGTGTGGAGAGTAGAACACATTATTGTCCCCACTTTACAGATGAGGAAACTGAGAGTCACGTAGTTTAAATGACCTGACCGGCAGTAAATGATTCAATCAGGATTCAGAACGGTCTAATGTACAATCCTGTTGGGTATCTTAACCAGTTTTTTCTTTTTTTCCCTATGAACCTTCAGGTTTATTCTCACCAAATGTTTCCTATTGTCTTCCTGGCCAATTTCAATGGACTCCATCAGAAAAGGAGCCTGGAACTTAAGGAAATCAAAAAAAGAATTCGGGCAGGCAAAGGTAATGATTTTTCTGGTTTGTGCATTTGAAAATAAAGGACGCCAGAAGCCCATGCATCTGGACGTAAGGCTTGTTATACAGAAAGAAAAAAAAAACAAAACCCACCATTATTACTATAATTAATTAAAGGAATCATGTGTAAAGGGAAACAGTTGATTGGGTTCGGAAATACGCGGACCTGGGCTCTGCTGGAGGATGCAGTGATAAGGACCTCACGGAAGACGTTTCCTCTTTGAGCTTTGGTTTTCTTACCTGTAAAAAGCCCATGTTGGAGGTGGCAGCTCACGTTTAGAAAGTGAAGCACGGCCTCTCGAACCCTCCTGGGTACAGTGGAGGACGAGCGCCACCTAGCGGGAACCCTTGCGGGATGTGTGGCGTACCGATCTACTGAAACACCGAAAAGAAAGTGTTGGTTTCACAAAACGGAATGTTTTTCTGCTGTGAATTGTCTCCACAGTCTCACGTTATGAGCAACCTAATAACGGAGGTGTTCCTTTGAAAAGACTCATGCAGACACAGTCCGAACCCCACTGAAAACACACCTCACTAAAGGGCAGGGCTAGGTTGGGGATCAGCTGTAGAATCGAGGTAGT